GGGTCAAGGTCACGAGGCCCTTGAGGCTTGGACCTCGTCGCTGCAGCCCTTGCTCTCCCGCTGGGTCTTTGCCCGCCCACAGCTCCCAACAGGCACTGCGCTGGGCTCCCGACACCGAGCGCGCTAGCGTCCTCTTCTTCACGTGCGGCAGGTGATCAGGCGGGCGCGGGGTGATCGGCCCAGCGTGGTCAGACAGTTAAGGGGATAAGGAAGTGGGAACCGGCGCCAGGGCGATTGTCTTTGAGTCCCTGCAAGCGCTCTCCGTTTTGTGCGACTTGACCTTGGCCGCTGGGAGGAAGCCGCCTGGCGTTTGTGGGTCACAGCGCAGCGGGTAAGGGCCTGGTTGTCGGACCCCAATGGAGGGCCTCGGCCGTGGCCCCCGTGGGAGAGCTGCTCTGCAGACACTCAGAGCACCCAGCCTCCGCTGGGCAGAGCCGCAGATGCCCTGCCCTCGGGAACTGTCTTCAAGGCAGAGTTTTCTTAGTTACTCTTAATCAGGCAGGCCGTGCTTTTAACTATTCTCAGATTATGAAGTCGTTTTAATTTTAATATATTATTATTATTACTTTTTTTTTTTATTATTAGTGGCACCCAGGTAACTCTACCTCTGAACTACGTACCTGGCTCTTTTTGGTTTCTTATTTTGAGACAGGATCACTTAATTACCCAGACCCACCTGCCATTCTCCTGCCTCAGCCTCCCAAATAGCTGGGATTACAGGTGTGAGCCGCCTTACCTGGCCCTTTGAAAATAATTTTTAAAAATCATAAATGAATAACAAGCTCTTTGAAAAACTTTGCCACCATTTATTGTATAAAATGTACACAAACATAGATATACATACACCCGTGATTCCAGGACACCCCTCCCTGTGCCAAAATCTTTGGATGCTCAAATCTCTTTTATAAAATGGCATAGTATATAACCTCCACAAACCCTCCATATATTTTAAATCAGCTCTAAGTTATTTATAATACCCAATACAATGTAAATGCTATGCAATAAAAATGTATGTACATGTCCAGTACAGATACAACCATTGTAGTCCTAACTTCATAATCCACAAATGAGATACCAAGAAAACTGCTCAAAAAGGGTGTGAAGAGACAAGATCTTTGAAAGGGGACAAGTATAGCAGTGTCATTTCTTGTGGATTCAGCCTTGGCATGTGGAAAATTCAAGCTTTGCATTTTGGAATGTCTGAATTTTTTAGTATATTTTTTCATCCAAGTTTGGTTGAATCCTCAGACTCCACATCTGGGGATCTGGTGGGCCAACTGTATAATTGATTACATATGTGATTTTATAGAGATAGGTATAACTTTTCTAAGAAATTAATACACTGAATTATATTGATGATATTAATAGACACCATATTTGCATTCATGGGATAAACTCCACTGGGAGGGAAAAAATACATACACTGTTGGCCCTCCCTCCATATTTGCAGGTTCCACTTTGATGATTCAACCAACTGCAAATAAAAAACATACCCCCCCCCTTCATTAGGTCTGTGCTGAACATGAGCAGGCTTTTATTCTTCCTCAACACTGCAGTATAATAACTATTTACATAGCATTTTACATTATATTTTTGCAGTTAATTTAGAGATGATATAAAATATAGGGGATGATGCTCACAGATTATTTGTAAAAACTATAATATTTTATATTGGAACTTGAATTTGGTGTCCTTCGAGGAGGAAGTCCCAGAACCAATCCCCCATGGATAATAAAAGACAACCACATATTTTCCTTTATTTCTAATCTAATTGCATTATAGTCATAGAATTTGGGCTATATGATGGCAAATCATTTGAAATTTGTTGAGATACATTATAATTCAATAAGTGGTTGATTTTCATTTGTGCTTAATATATAGACTACATACAACTCAAGAAGTGCTGGATATATCCAGCACTTCTTGAGTTGTATGTAGTCTATATATTTAGTAAATCAAAATTTTAAATTGGGTTTTTGAAATCTATCCTTAATATATTTATTTTTGCTTGCTTGATTTTTTTTTTTTTTGCTGTTTCCTCCTTCTTCCCTTTCCCCTTTACATTCTTCTCCTTTGCCTTTCTCCACCGCCCCTTCTCTCTTGCCACCCCTTCTCTCTACTCCTCCCCCTCCTCCTCCTCTTCCTGTAGTGGAAAGGTTAACCTGATTAACTAAAATAAGTGTAAAAGTCCCACTATCACACACTAGATTTTTTAATTTATTCTTATTTTTCTGTGATTTTCGTAATGTATTTTATACATTGTATATTTGCACTATGTATTTTGAAATGATGTTGTTAGATACAAGTTCAAAAGTGTTCTGCTACATTTTTCTGGTAAAGTGAACCTTTACTGATTTTATAGTGACACTCTATGGTTGATGACTCTCTCTTTTAATACCTATTATTTACTTTTTCTTGACAATTTGTTTGGATATGCCTGAATAAAAATTAGAGTCTGATTGGGATAAGGAAGTGGGGAATTCATATCGTGTAGGTAACCCATTTTAAAAGGAAGAAAACAGAATACATGTAATAATACAATGTAAAATGCTATGTAAACATTTTATGTGATGTTTCCTACTCCCAAATTTTCTTTGTTTATATTACAATTTTGGTTCTGTTTCTCAGTGTGTGTGTATGTATATATATGTATGTATGTATGTATGTATATGTGTGTGTGTATGTGTGTGTGTGTGTGTATTTTTTCTTTTTGTGTGGTGTTGGGGATGCAACCCAGAGCCTTGTGCATGGTATGCAAGTGCTCTACCACTGAGTTATACCCCAGCTCCTTAGTAATATACTTAAACTTCTGTAATTTTATTTATCTTTCTTCAACAGTATCTATTGACCTCTACATTTTAAAAAGGAGGAAATCAAATTACTTATGCTTCCTGCAGTCCAACCACCTTCTTTTCTTCCCACCTTGACTTTTTAGTACTTACACAATAATTTCTATATTTATATTTAGAGCTTTTTCACTATGGAAATAGAAGTACAGAAATAAGGTTCTGTTCTATAATAATAGGTCCCATAGTTGTTTTGACTTAGTTCTACATTTAAGTTTAATGCTTTTATTATTATCTCCTTTATTTCAAGCTTCCTCCCTTTAGCTCTGTATTAATGGGATTTATTATCATGTATGTATTCTTTATATTAAGGATTCATGGGTAGTATCTTTGCTGAGTTTTGTATATTTGAAAATGTTTATTATCATGCTTAAATGAAATTTGGGCTTTGTATCAAAACCTTAAACTAATTTTTTCTCCTAAAGAAATGTTCTGGCATTTAAATATTGCTGTGGAGATGTGGGAGGTTTACTTGATATTTTCATATGTCTGATCAGAAAAGATAATAAACTATTTTTACACTGTTTAATTATTAGTGAGATTGAGCAACATTTTTTACATTTATTGAATATTTGATGATAGTGATAAGAGCATAAATATAAAAGTCTAAGCAGAAGTTGGGGTTAGTGTGTACTCTATTGAAAAGGTAGACTAATGATGGCCATGGGCCAAATCTGGTCTGCTGCCTGTGTTTGTGTGATCTACAAGCTAAGAAAGAATATTTGCAACCAATTTTGTGATGGGTATCATTAACTTTGAATCCTAGTTAAGTCTTGTTAGTATACCTGTATTATAAAATCTGTACTCAATTATTATTATCATATATTGAATTTCATCAATGAAACATTTGTAGAAATTTATTTTCTTTTATTTGAGTACCTATGTAACATTTTTAATTTTATGTTTTGGCCCACAAAGCCAAAAATATTTACTCTTTGGCCTTTTTCAGAAAATGTTTATTTACTCCTTTTTTATTGCAAATCCAGAATGGATTTGATTCAGAAATACTTTTGAATCTAGGCCACCTCCCTTAGGATCCATTTCTTCATCTTATCTCAAGATGTGGGCCCCAAAGTTGCATCCTTCAATTCTTAACACAGTGAGTAGTCCTTCTAGGAGCATTATTGGTACTGTTTAGGTAATGTGTGGGATTTTTCTGTACCATGAATCTCATCACTAAGTAGGCTGTCCTACATTAATATTGTTACCTTTGGCTTCATACCTAATATGGGAATTTCTATCATTTCTATTTCAGTGAGGACTACTCTTGCTCCTGGCTTGTTTCAGTCTGCCATATTTGATTTGTCTGAAGCATAGTTACTTGCTAGTTAAAACTTTTTCTATCTACATTGATTCTAGTCTTAAATTCTTGGTTTAACTTCTTTAATTACAGTATACTTTCAAGCAGTGCATCATTTTTATCACTTTCTGTATTTTGTAAGATTTACTTCTGTAATCAGAAAGAAATTTTCTTTTCCTTCTCTTTTCTTTTTCTTTTTTGATGCTGGGGATTGAACCCAGGGCTTGTGCAAGATAAGCTTGTGCTCTACCACTGAACTCTATCCCCAACTCTGAGACTCTCTTTTTCCTATTTCAAAACTTATTCCCTTTTGTTCTGTTCTGTTCTATGTGAGGAATGCTGGTAGCATATACATATGACCTTTTAGTGTTTAGTGAATGGTGAAATTAGTTAAATAGCTTGAGGTACTACTAGCTCTGTTGACTCCATTAAGTTCTTTTTGATGATTTCCCCTGATGAAGTGATCTTAAAACTTATTATAATGTTTAGTATAGAATTTATTTTAAACTAAAATTGTATGCATATAAACCCTTAAATATAAGAAGGAAAAATTACCTTAGAAAAGAAGTTAGATAATACAGAGGTTGCTCTGAAAGGATAACAAACATATAGTGAATGATCTGGAAATTATACCATATACAAAAAATAGTAGAAGGTAACTGGGATATTGTATTAAGCTTCTAGAGAAATTGGGAGCTATATATGGAGTTTTGAATGTCAGTAGCCAAAGTTGTAAAATTGTCTTTTTATTAAAAAATGATATGGATGTATTTTTTTTATAGCCAGTTACTTCACTTTTCATTCAGAAAACAAATAGACATTTGTACCCATTGACTTGACAACTGTGAATCGTGATGGACAAAGAGGAAAGGAACATAAAACCAAGGTAAAAGTAATATATAATAAATGAAATATTTTTCTAAAGTAAGATTTAAACAATATATGGCCAGTGGTAAGACAGTCTGACAGGAAAAATCTTAACATGCCATGTGAGGACTGATTGAGGGTTCTGAGGTTTAGAAAGCCTTGATTTCATAAAGTGATTACTGACAAGATAAGCAAATTAACACTAGTTTCTAGCTTTTCCCCATCAAACCACCCTTTTACAAAGAAAAGAAGAAATAATGGATCAATAACAGAATCTATCTATCTATCTACCTTAAACCAAACCCAAGGTGGTTTGGTTTAAGGTAGGTAGATAGATAGATAGATAGATAGATAGATAGATAGATAGAAAGAACATTTGGAAAATTGTAAGATCATGAGGAAGAACCTTTCAGAAAGCATTAAGAAGGAATAAAGTGCTAAAAAGAATGAGAAAAGTTATGAGCCAAGGATAATCAAACTAGAAGTATCAACATTTATAAAGAATTCTAGAAGGAAAGAAAAATGATTTTAAAATAATCATTACCTGACTTAAACATGGTGGATTGGATTGAACACATTGCTTGCACTATTCTCTTTCCTGAAATCTCACTAAAAGAGAATGAGAAATGAAACAAAAACCATATGAGAGAAACCAGTAAAATTTTGGAAACTTGAAAACAGATGAATCAATGATAATTGATTTAATAGAGCAGAAGTGGAAACCCAAGATAGCAGTGGGTGAGGCCCTAAAGCATATTGATTCATCCCCAACCCTCCCAAACCTCCCCTAATCCCCCACACATTCAAGATTGGAGATACCAGGAACCTATGGAAGTGTACAAAAATCATTAGAACCCAAAACTCCTTTCTCACCTCTCACAGCCAAGAGACTATTTCTCCTTCAGGTCCAGTAGGAGATTGGAGGTCTACTGCCTAGGAAGATCAAACTGAGAGCACAACTTGAAGTAGAATTCTGTCCTCAAATCAAGGTTTCTTCTTCTACTAGACTTAGAGGAACCTCACAGTCAAATGCTAAGAACATTATTCTCTGAAAATGATCAGCCAAGAGGAAATATCTATATATTTGACCAATGAAACATACCCCAACTAAGTACCAAATCATCCCACAGTGAAACAATTACACAGTGCATAAAGAGCTGCTCAATATCTTTTTAGCAATGATTCTTAAATATAAGCACACAACCCATGCTCATGAGACATTTGAGAGAAGTTTATAGCATAACAGAAATTCAAACAAAAGCTTGGAGGAAACGGACAATATATGGAGAAGAAAAGTTCAACAACCATCACAAAACTATCATTAGATGACCAGAGAGATCAAGAAAACTAGTCAACATTTGGAAAATTAAAAAATATAGAACATTTGGAAAATTAAAAATAGTTCTTGGAAACTAAATACATAATAGCAAAATTAAGATTCAGAGAAGAGTTAAAAGAACTGAGAAAATTTTGTAGAAAGAAAAATGAAAAGATAGAGATTGAAAATAAGATGGAAAAAGTAAGAAAAATGTTCCATAGGAAACACAATAATATGACATAAATGAATCCAAAGTATCCTGGTAATCACAATACATACAAATACACTAAATTTTTTAAATGTTGAAGTAAATAAAAAGCTTGTTATGGAAATATGAAAAACATAAGGACATACCAATAGACAAATTGTTAAAAAATGGAAAAATGTTTAAGACAAAGACATTATTATACTATCACAAGAAATAATACAGTATCAGAAAAAAGTCTGCAAAGTAAAAGATAACTAAATATAAATAAGGCTATTTTATGATGAAATGTTCAATTCAGTAGGTAATAATTGTTCTAAATGTATATAGGCCTACTTGAAGCAAAAGTTGAGAGAATGAAGGAGAAATTGACAAATCTATCATAGTAAGAAATTTTAATACTCATTAATTGAAATCACTCATTAATTGAAAGGTCAAGTACAAAATTAGTAAGAATATAGAAAATATGAACAACCAAATTAACTTTTGTTTTTGGTATCAGAGATTGAACCCAGGAGCATGTAACCACTGAGCTACATCCCCAGCCTTTTAAAAAAAATTGTATTTTTATTTTGAGATAGGATCTCACTAAGTTACTTAGGGCCTCACTAAGTTGCTGAGGCTGGCTTTGAACTTGCAATTCTCCTATCTCATCTTCTGGAGCAACTGGGAATATAAGCATGCACCACTGCAACTGGCTCACATGTTTGGTGATAGATAGATAGATAGGTAGACAGACAGACAGACAGACTGTCTGTCTGTCAGAACACTGCAGCCAACAACTGCAGGACGCAGATTATCTGTTAGGTTACAGGAAATGATTATAGAACTTGAGCATGCAGAGCTATAAAATTTTAATAAATTTCCAAAAAGACAATACACATATCTTTTAATTGCATTAGAAATCAGTAATGAGGCAAATTAGAAAATCCCAATATTTTTAGAAATGAAACAGACTTTTGTTTCTTCATGGTACTAAGTATCAAACTCAGGACCTTGAACGTGCTAAGCAAGCACTCTACCACTGAGCTACATCCCAAATCCAAAACATAATATTTTAAAAACACTTTTCTGAGTAATTCATGAAAGTATGATCCATAAGGGAAATTAGAAAAAACTTAGAACTGAGTGTGGTAAAATAATTGAATTGTTTAAATTACATTATCAATGTCACACATTATAAAAAATTGTGTGATATAGCTGATTCACAAAATGTTGTATTTACACATTGCTTCTAAAATAGGTGGGCCACAGTATAAATCTTGCAACAACGAGCAGTGCCATTTAGGAGTCCTGCAACCAATATGAGATTGAAAAAAGGAGATAAATACAGAAGGACCTGTAATTAAAAGATAATATTATCAACTCTTTCCTGACAAAAAGAATTGAAAAATTACACAAAATATAAGAATTTTAAGAAAACTATATTTAACATGTACTCAATAAGAAACAAGCAAAGATGAACTCTTTTCAATCACTAAAATTATTGAAGGAGTGGTTGTCAATCACTACTACTGCCAGCCTTCCCCCGCCCACACACAATACAGAGACCATACACATCAGGTTAAGAGCTTTAAATATGAGTTTTAACAAACATTCAAGAAATAAATCATTCTAACACTGGGAGCTGTGGCACATTTCTAAAATCCCAGAGGCTCAGGAGGCTTAGACAAGAGGATCACAAGTTTAGGAACAGCCTCAGCAAATTAGTGAAGACCTAAGCTACCTAGTGAGACCCTGTCTCAAAAATTTAAAAAAGTTGGGGGCATTGTCTGGGAATGTATCATAGTGGTAAAGCACCTCCCCCCAAAATATCCAATCTTACAAAATTTCTTCTACACAGAGAGAGACAGAGACAGAAAGTAGTTCCTAACTGAACTTATGAGAGTAATTTATACAACCTCCCAAGTCCATTTTATTTATGATCTTAAAATAAAAAATCCTAGATGAAATATTAACCTAATTATAGCACTATATAAAAAGTTGATACTTCAGGACCAAGTTGCACAGTCCAATCCCAGAAATGCAATATTAATTCAATATAGAAAAATGCACCAATATCAATTACCATTAATAAAGAAGAAAAGCATGTGATGAACATCTAATAATGATTTAAAAAAAAACTCTTAGAGAAAACTATTTGATTCAGAGGTCTTACCAGAAAACTAAAGCAAATATCATATTTAATAGTCAAGTGTTAAAAGTGTTCTTTATCAATTCAGAAATATGACGAGGATAGTTGCTACTGCCACTTCTCATCAGTGCTCTATAATGTTTCTCTGATAATTGTATCACTTTATTGGGGGTGACAGAGCAATTGAGTCTGCCCTTTACACCATACTGGAAATTCAAGGATTTAAGGACATATGTATGATTTAAAAGACCTATGAAAGGAAAAACTTTAAAACTATTAAGAAAACATAAGAACATTTTTTAGTAAAGAAATATTTCTTAAAGAAGACATAACATAATCCATAAGGGCAAAGATAGATAAATGATACTAAAGTTAAGAACTTCTATGTACTGGGACATCAAAAAAAGTAGAAAGATAAATCCAAAACAGAGATATAAAATATCTAAAAATTACCATCCAAAATTTGTATATAGTTCTTAAAGATTGTAAAGAAAATGGCAAACAATTTAGTACCCATGAAAATGAAATATTTCAAAATATTTATAAATCAAATGGGGACTCACAGTGTGTTCACAGGAAAGCATTTAAAAGTACTTAATAAGCTATTCATAAATAAGCTCAAGGAAGTTGTGCTCTATTTACCCATGAATAGAAGTTTTGCCTTCTTATTCACTATGGTTAAGCATTTTGTTTAATATACCACTAGGTACTTTTTCCCTCTGAAAAGCACATGTAAAGCTTTACAGAACACTGAATTTCCTCTACCTGGTAAAATTATGGTCTACTGTGTAAGTTGGTTGTAGGCAGTGACTTTGGATTCTGTTCTTAAGAAAAATTTTTTTCCCAACATTTAAAAAGTAGACAGTTGGCCAATGTGCTGTAAAAAATATTTGGGTTATAATCCTGATATGGGTTGGACTTTTGGTTTGTTCTTTTCATAAAGGAGGACAATATAAGAGTTGTTCTCACATAACTAGGAATTTTTGAAAACTGTGTTGACTTTTTTCTGCCACTAACTTAATTGGAGATATTTCTCCAAAAATGAAATCAACCTTAAATTTCAATGACCATTTATGATATTTATTTTCTTATACTAAAACAATTACACCTATCTAAAAATTGCTTGAAATGATAGACATTAGATTTTAAAGTACAGATTATTTAATCTTTAGTTATAGATAATGTTTATCACAGCATTTATCAAAACTATGTTGTTTCAATTATAAAAATTGAAATTATAAATGAAATTTTCAGTAATATTCTAATAGTTCAATATTTTGTTAGAGAGATTATTCATTTATACTCTTAGAATTGTCTTCTTTGTCATCTTAGGTTTTTAAAATATAAAGTGCGAAAGTACAAAATTGATATACCATTAGAGACTCAGACAGCTCAAGAACCAGTAAAGGAAACACTGAAATATAAAATGTTTAAAAGGCGGTCTGTACCCTTGATGTCAGAGAAGACAGAAATTTATCAAGACTACTATCCAGGCATGTTGATTTATGTTTTCTTTTATGGAAATGGAAAAAGGTTTACATAACATTAGATTAAGAAACAAGTGAAATAAATTGAAATACTGGAGTCTACTTTCAAAATATAATATTTGATACTTGGCTAATTTCATTAGCAATGCAGTTAGCAATGTCTTCAAATACAAAGCCTGCTTTTATATTTTTTCTGATGAAATATTTTATTTTTTTAATTTGTTCTTCTTAGTGATACATGACAATAGGATTCATTTTGAGATAATTATAAAAGCATGGAATATAATTTGTTCTAATTTAGTCTCTAGTATTTTCCATTTTCCTCTCCTCTTCCCTCTCCCTGTTCCCTTCCCTCTACTGATCTTTATGCTATTTATTTATGTTTTTTAAAATTAGTATCTTGTGGATATTGAGATTCACTGTGGTATAGTCATATGTGTACATAGGAAAGTTAGGTCAGATTCATTCCACTGTCTTTCCCTATCTCATCCCTCCTCCCTTCTCTTCATTTCCCTTTGTCTACTCCACTGATCTTTCTTCTATACTTTTTTAACCCGCTCCCCACCCCCACTTATTTTGGATTACTTCCACATATCACAGAAAACATTTGACTTTCACTTTCTGGGACTGGCTTATTTCACTTAGCATGATAGTCTCCAGTTCCATTCATTTATGAGAAAATGCCATAAAGTCATTCTTCTCTGTGGCTGAGTAATACTCCTACCATATTTTCTTTATCCATTCATCTGTTGAAAGACATCTGTGTTAGCCTCATAGCTTGGCTGTTGTGAATTGTGCTGTACAAAGCCTGTTTTTTAAAGGGAACATAATCTAAACATAATAATAAAAGTAGTAGTAAAAATAATAACTACAACCACCACCACCATAACAACAACAGGGGTCACTAACACCACCAAGAATGTCTGATATCTCGGTACCAATTTACAGTTTGCATCACTCTTTCATGTCTTTTTTTTAAGGTAAAGATCATCTTTTTTTTTTATTTCTTACATACATGACAATAATGGAATGCGTTACAATCTTAATTATCCATTCACAACACCATTTTTGTAACTCTGTATATAAGTATGTTCACTCCAAATTATGCCTTATACATGAGCTCTCTTATTATTATTTTTTATTACAATTCTTAATACACCTTTATACCACAATTTAGCATATCTCTGATTATATGTAAGGTACATTGACACATCTTCATACATGTATTTTGTAAAATAATGAGGGTCTCCTTCCACCATCCATGCTATTCCCCTTCTCCTTCCCTTTCCCTCCCACCCCTATTTCCTATCAAGAGGTAATCTTCCTCCCTTGCTCTCCCTCTCAACCCCATTTTGAGTTACCCCCCTTATATCAGAGAAGACATTTGGCATTTGATTTTTTGGGGGGAGATTGGCTAACTTCACTTAGCATAATCTTCTCTAATGCCATCCATTTCCCTGCAGATGCCATGATCTTTATCTTTTTTATTGCTGAGTAATATTCCATTGTGAATAAATGCCACATTTTTTTTTATCCTTTCATCCACTGAAAGACATCTAGGTTGGCTCCACAGTTTAGCTATTATGAATTGTGCTGCTATAAACATTGATGTGGCTGTGTCCCTGTAGTATGCTGTTTTGAGGGCCTTTGGGTATAGTCCGAGAAGAGGAATAGCTGGGTCAAATGGTGGTTCCATTCCCAGCTTTCCAAGGAATCTCCATACCGTTTTCCAAATTGGCCTCACCAATTTGCAGTCCCACCAGCAGTGTATGAGTGTACCTTTTTCCCCACATCCTCGCCAGCACTTGTTATTGTTTGTCTTCATAATGGCTGCCACTCTTACTGGAGTGAGATGGTATCTTAGTGTAGTTTTAATTTGCATTTCTCTGATTGCTAGAGATGATGAACATTTTTTCGTATATTTGTTGATTGATTGTATATCCTCTTCTGAGAAGTGTCTGTGCAGGTCCTTGGCCCATTTATTGATTGGATTATTTGTTCTTTTGGTACTTATCTTGTTGAGCTCTTTATATACCCTAGAGATTAGTGCTCTATTTGATATGTGAGGGGTAAGAATTTGTTCCCAGGATGTAGGTCCCTATTCAACTCACATGTTATTTCTCTTGCTGAGAAAAAACTATTTTAGTTTGAATTCATCCCATTTGTTGATTCTTGGTTTTAATTCTTGTGCTATAGGTGTCTTATTAAGGAAATTGGGGCCTAATCCCACGTGATGGAGATTAGGGCCTACTTTTTCTTCTATTAGACGAAGAGTCTTTGGTTTAATCCCTAGGTCCTTGAGCCATTTTGAGTTAACTTTTGTGCATGGTGCGAGATAGGGATTCAATTTCATTTTGCTGCATATGGATTTCCAGTTTTCCCAGCACCATTTGTTGAAGATGCTATCCTTTCTACAGTGCGTGCTTTTGGCACTTTTGTCTAATATGAAGTAGTTGTAATTTTGTAGGTTAGTCTCTGTGTCTTTTATTCTGTACCATTGGTCTACCAGCCTGTTTTGGTGCCAGTAACATGCTAAAGATCTTCTTAACTCCATTTTATTTTGTCTTCCTTCCTTCTCCCTATCTCAAATTCTATCATTTCCAGGATTTTTATTTTCCCTTTTTATCCAGCTCTTCAGTATCCACACTTTTATAAGCTTTCAGCCTCATCTGCAGTACTTGTCTTGGGTGATAATTTTACCTCTTTTCCTTTAAGGTAAATCTACCACCTCATTCTAGAGTTCCTCTCCTTCCATGTCCTCAGGAACGTAGTGTCAATTCATTATCTTCTCTCATCTCTTCCTTTCTATTAGCTCTTTTCTCTCTGGATATGAATATGTTATATATTTAATAATTTTAAACAAAACAATCCTGAAACATCTTTGAGGTCTGTATTTCTTTTTGGCAATTACCACTATAGTATCAGTCATCTTAAAATCCTGGCTGAAACTTCCTCCAACTCTTGACTTCTTGCTCACTCCTCAATATGTATTCTACCACCTTTACTATACTGGTAAGACTCTTCAAGGTTGCTTCCTCATGGCTAAATCCTCATAGAAATGATAGAAATGATTAATTTATAAATAAAATAATCTTTATTTTACTACACCATTCTGCCACATTTTTTTTCTTTTAACCACTTAACTTCCTTTTTCCCCTTGATTTTGAGGAAAACTACTTACTGTTTATGTTTTCTAAACTCTTCTTTGTTATACAGTATAATAGTAACATTATAGAGCAACTATATATTGTTGAGTTATTCTTTCTTTAAGGTTTTCTTTCTTCTTTTCTATCTGCTCTTTTTCTGTTTCTTAAGTTTTTACTTCTCTTTCTACATAATTTCTCAGGTGTTTTTAGGGTCTGTCAAAATCAATGTTCCCTTTTTTTTTTCCTGTCTGAGCTGGACCAAGACTTTAGCATTTTAAATAATATATCTTCTCCTATATTGCCTGTTAAATTAATACACAATCCTTCTCCCTCAACCTCCAGAGTTGTTGGGGTATAGGCACCCACCATTGTACCCATCCCATATATAGATAGATAGATAGACAGATAGATATAGATATAGATAATTTTTGGTACTGAGGATTGAACCCGGAGTCATTTTATCACTGAGTTATATCCCCAGTCCTTTTTATTTTTTATTATTGAGACAGGGTCTTACTAAGTTGCTAAAAAAAACTTCATAAATTGCTGATGTTGGCCTCCAACTTGCAATCCTGGCTTACCCTCCCAAGTCACTGGGATTATGGGGATTATGGGTGTGGGTTACTGGGCCCAGAAAATAAATAAATAAATAGATAAGATATCTAATAAAATTATATATCTAGGAGTGACTTATTTTGGCTCATGGTTTCAGAGGTTTCAGTCCATGTTCAGTAAGCTCCATTGTTTTGGGCCTGAGGTGAGGCAGAACATCATGGAGGAAGGGTGTAATGGAGGAAAGCTGCTCAGCTCCTAGTAGCTGGGAATTAGACCAGAAAGGAAGAGGGGACCAGGGACAAGATATAGTTCCAAGGGTGTGCCTTTAACACCCATTTCCTTTAACTAGGTCCCTCCTCCTATAGTTTCCACCATCTCCCAATAATTCAGATCACAAATCCATCAATGATAAGATTAGAGCCCTCATAATCCAATAATTTCTTTTTTAAATTTGTTTTAATTAGTTATATCTGACAGTAGAATGCATTATGCAGTTTGATATATTGTACACAGATAGGATATAATTTCTCATTTTCTCAGTGTACATGTTGTAGAATCACATTGGTCATGCAGTCACATATATACATAAAGCAATAATGTCTGTTTCATTCTACTATCTTTCCTATCCCCACATCCCCTCTCATCACCTCCCTTCACCTCCCTCTGCGTAATCCAAGGTAATGCTATTCTTCTCTAGTGTCCCTGGCCCCCTCCTTATTGTGAATTAGCATCTGCATATTAGAGAAAACATTTGGCCTTTGTTTTGGGGAATTGGCTTATTTCTCTTAGCATGATATTCTCCAACTCCATCTATTTACTGGCAAATGACATAATTTCATATTTAAAGCTGAGTAATATTCCATTGAGTGTGTGTGTGTGTATATATATATATATATATATATATATATATATATATATATATATCTCACATTTTCTTTATCCATTCATCTATTGAAGGGCACCTAGGTTGGTTCCATAGTTTACTTGTTGTGAATTGCTATAAACATTGATGTGGCTGCATTACTGTAATATGCTGATTTTAAGTCCTTTGGGTATAAACTGAGGAGTGGGATAGCTGGGTCAAATGGTATAATCCAATCATTTCTAAAAGCCCCACCTACACAGTGCCTTATTGGGGACTAACACATGAGCCTTTGGAGGATATTTCAGATCCAATCATAACAGGGCAAGTGATGACAAGCACAATGATGTAACAGTAACCACACATGGAGGAACTATATATTATTGAGTAGACTTTCTTTAGGCCAATCTGAAAATAAAACCTATGGCAGAAATGTGGCATAAAGTTGCTTGAGTGTGATTGGTTGAGGTAGACTAGAGCTGTGAGAATATCTAGAAAGTGGGGGCAGGCATAGTATCAAACAGGTCTTAATTCAGAAACACTGAAGTTATCAAATGGTGGCAGGTTTCATATAGAAAAAGTGGGCCCTCTCAGGAGCTGAAGTTCTAGATTAGTTGAGTGACTAGGAAATTGGCAGATCAAAGAAGACCAAAAGGATATGGTATAATGAAAAGGCATTAGCTTCAAAGGAGTAGGATTATATTTCATGGTGTTTTTTTTAAAGGGCAAGTTGTAATGATTTGAAGTTAGTGAATGGTGAGCAAGGAGGAAAATGATCCCCTTTCCAGTCTGGGGTAGATAGAATGTGATATTAGAAACAACAAGCACTTGAGAGGGTTTCACATCAGTGGTGTCCTTAGGGAATAACTAGGGTGTCCCTAGGGAATAAGCCAGGGGGTGGGGGAAACTCTGGTAATAGAGGTTAATGCTAGCAGAAAGTTTTTAAAACTATTTCACACAAACTTTCCAAAAAAGCCCACATTTTCTCTCCCAGCTCTATACCCTTACCCACAATGAGATACAGGGTGTGTGTCTCTCTGATCACATGAATGGGGAAATCTCTCTGAGTTGGGACTATTGGCTGAAACAGACTTACTGGTTATTTCATTTACATGCGTTTTGTTTTGTTTGTAATTATTGTGTCTTATCCCCTATTAGATTATAACTTGATGCCTTGCACTACGTAAGTATTTGTTAAATAAGTGAGAGAAGCAAGTAAAAATGTATTTGCTTCTAAAAAGCTTTATTGCCAGGTGCAGTGTAGCATGCCTGCTATATATTGAGGCAAGAAGATTTTCCTGGGCCCAGGAGTTTGAGAACAGTCTTGAAAACATAGTAAGACTCTGCTGCAAAAATTGATTACTTAATTAAAACTTCTATTTTCAATAGTTTCTCTTTCTTGTATGTGTGAAAACCCACCAATTAAGTAAGCATAGAAGAAATCTGAGATATGGAACCTTTGCTACTCTTCTGCATTTATATCTAAATATAATTTATATCTAAATATAATTTTTTATTCAATTACCAAGTTAGTTAATACAAGGGTTTTTCTGTGAATTTTATATAAAGATTTACACTTCAAAGATTTTAGTGTAATAACAAAATCACAAATAATATTTACCTTAATAAGTAAGAGCTTTCTAATTTAAGTATTTTAAGCCTATGAGGTTCTTCCTACAACACTCATCATTTCAAAGATAAGAATGTTAAGTCAGACAGTAACTTATAAGGTAAATCATTGAACTGTGCATGGTAGTTTGTCTCTGAGCATGGAACCCAGCTGGTTTAACTCTGAGCCTGTGCTCTTAATTACAGTGTTATTATAGTGCCTCATATAATAATCAACTATATTGCTTGGTATGTGAAAATACTATGGTATTATTTATGTTCATCATATTTATTCATTTGATAATGGTTTTATTTTTAGATTTCCTTAAAGAAAGCATAACTCAACCACATATAGTTGCCCCAGAACCAGCTTCCCAAAAAGAGAAAAGGAAATCCTGGGGAAAACAGGAGCATACTAATGCTTATCCAAAAGCTAGGGAAGTCAGTTTTTTGTCATATGACACAACATGTACGTATCATCACTGAAACATCTTGCTTAGAAAACATTACTTTAAAAAAAAAAACTTTCTGTGGTTTGGGTGCTCATGTTGGACACTGGTTTTGGAAAAAAAAACAGTCTTACTGAGTTTTATGTGTTTGGGTGCTTAAAGATTTAACAAATTTTTGTTTGTCTTAATGTAAAAATTGACATACTGTTCAAAAATTATATTTTTTATTTAAGGACAATCTCTGAAGGTTATGCTTTTAGAATGATAAATAAATTGTATAGTTTTACCTTTGTACTGATGGTATCATTTTTAACAATTTTATGTCTTTGGTATAGAGTTTTAATCACCAGTTAATTTCAACAGATTTTTCTCTACTAACATTTCATAGATGGTGTTTTTTTTCTATAACTGAAATTCTTATATGTATCAATATTTTAAATTTTATAGGAAAAGGAAACTTTTTAGTTTTTCACTGAAATATCATGGTCCAGAGGTGGATTTGTTATCAAGCTATTGAAGCTGAAGTTTCAGGACACCTTCAGTCACATAGGCTTCTTTTTTTTTTTTTTTTTTAAGAAATATTCTCAAAATTAGGAATGCCTCAGGTAGTGCAAAACCTGCATGGATGTGGTGGGTTCATACCCTCCCTTTGAGTGTGAGTGGAATCTGTATAACTGCTCCTAATCAATAGTATGTGCTGTCACTCTTGTGATATTACATCATGGAAGACTCCATCTTGCCAGTAGACAAGTCTCCCTTCCCTTTTTTGACTTTGAAGAAATAAGATGTTAGGGCTCCTCATCCCAGTCCTGACACTGTTTTGTCTATTATCTCAAGTCTCATTTAATCCTTGGGGAAGAAACCATTTTAGTCAAATAGTGTTTGTGATTCTGGAGGGCCAGAAATCAAGAATAATGTTTTAAGATGGCTGGTATTACAAGCATGGCTTTTTGGTATGTGTTTTCTCTCATAATTTTTTTTGTAGGGGGTTACTAGGGATTGAACACAGGGACACTCGGCCACTGAGCCACATCCCAGCCCTATTTTGTATTTTATATAGAGAAAGGGTCTCATTGAGTTGCTTAGCACCTTGCCGTTGATGAGGCAGGCTTTGAACTCACAATCCTCCTGCTTCAGCCTCCCAAGCTGCTGGGATTACAGGCACACACCAGTGCACCCAGAATTATTTGTTTTACTTAAAAACAAACAAACAAACAAACAAAACCAAGAAACTTAATAGAAAGCTTCAGCAGAACAAAGGAACCAATCAACAGAGTGAACAGACAAACCTGAAGAATGGGTGAAAAATCTTTCAAACTAATCATCTGACAAGAGATTAATATCCAGAATATATAAGGAGCAAAAATCCCCAAATAGCCAAACTAAAAAATGGGCAAATTATCTGAATACATGTTTCTCAAATGTAGACATACAAATAATTAACATTTTTTTTAAACTAGTAATCATTGAGGACTGCCCCACCAACTGGCAAACCTACTCCAAAGCCCAGGCCCAGGCATAGGACCACCTCCACCTACCTGCACCGAAGCCCAGGCCCAGGTCAGGCCTAGGACCATCCCCACTGACCAGCAGATTCACATCAGAGCCTAGGGCCAGGTCTAGGACCACACCCACCAACCCAATTGGGAAACCAGGCCTAGCCCACCTCCATCTTGGGACACTACAGCCATCACCACAGCCCTCCCCACACAGAAGTCTTCACCTTGGAACAACAGACAGGGCCAGGAAGCAATTGCATCTCCGAATAGGCAGCCCAAAGCCATTGTAAGGTCCATCCTTTCAGCCCCATCTCTGAAATTGGTTGCATCCATCTTGGACACCCACTGCTATCTTGAGTTATCTCTGCTGTTGCTGCCACCACCTTTAGTTGCAGTAGTATCCATTGTGGGACACTGGCCAGGGACAGGAAGCCCAACACCAAGATGAAGTATAGGTAATCTGCAGGGACACTGCAAGATTGTAGGGTAGAAACTAATACTTCAGATCTGCACTGCAAAAAAGGAAGACACATAGACAACATGCAAAAACAAGGGAAGAAAGTGCCCCAAACAAACCAAGATACTACAATAATAGGATCCATGGACAGCACAGTTGGTGAAATGTCAGAGAAGGAGTTCATAATGTACATGACTAAAATGATCTGTGAATTAAACAATGACCTAAGTGAGCAAATACAGGCAAAAATTGATTACTCCAACAAAGAGATAAGAGAGCAAATACAGGTAACTGTTTATTACACAAACAGAGATAAGAGAGCAAATACATGTAGCAAAAGATTACTTCAAGAAAGAGAGATTCTGGGGGAAAAAAGCAGAAATTCTTAAAATGAAGGATACAATAAACCAAGTTAAAAAAAAAAAAAAAACTCAGTAGAAAGCCTTACCAACAGACTACATCACTTGGCAGATAGAATATAAGACAAGACAAAATATACAATCTTGAAAATAAAGTTGACCACACAGTGAAAATGGTAAGAAACTATGAACAGAATATCCAAGACTTATGGGATAGCACCAAAAGACCAAATCTAAGATGTATTGGGATAGAGGAAAACACAGAGATTCAAACCAAAGGAATGTGCAATCTCTTCAATGAAATAATATCAGAAAATTTCCAAACATGAATGAATTAAAAAATCAAATACAAGAGGCTTACAGGATACTAAATTAAAACAGATCTACAGAAAGTCACATTATAATGAAAATGTTTAGCATATAGAATAAGGATAGGATCTTAAAGGCAGCAAGATAGGGATCAGATTACATATAGGAGGAGATCAATTTGGATCTCAGCAGATTTTTCAACCCAGACCCTCAGAGCCAGGAGATCCTGAAACAACATATACCAAGCTCTGAAAGAAAATGGATGCCAACCAAGAATCTTATATCCAACAAAATTAAGCTTCAGATTTGATGACAAAATAAAAACCTTTCTTGATAAAAGAATTTACAGTGAGAAAACCTGCACTACAGAGCATTCTCAGCAAAATATTCCAGGAGGAGGAAATGAAAAACAACAATGAAAATCAGCAAAGGGAGGAACTAAAGGAAAGGCCACTCAAAGGAGAAATCAAGTCAAGTTAAAAACCAAAATAAACCAAACTCTCTGGGAATATAAATCATATTTCAATAATAACCCTGAATGTCAGTGGCCTAAACTCATTAATTAAAAGACACAAGCTGACAGATTGGATTAAGAAAAAAAGATTCAATATGTTGCTTTCAAGAGACTGATCTCACAGGAAAAAGCATCCACGGACTGAAGGTGAAACAGCGGGGGAAAAAATACCACTCATATGGACCATGTAAAGAAGCAGGGGTTTCCATCCTCATATCAGAAAAAGTGACTTAAAGCCAAGGGATACAGAAGGACACTTCATACTGCTTAAGGGATTCATGCATCAACAAGACATAATAATCATAAATATCTATGACCCAAACAATGGGGCATCTATGTATATCAAACAAACCCTTCTCAACTACAAGGACTAAATAGACCATAACACAACAATACTGGGTGACTTTAATACATCTTTCTCACCACTGGATAGATCTTCCAACAAAAACTAAACAAAGAAACTGTAGAAATCAATAATATTATCAATAATTTAGACTTAACAGACATATATAGAATATTCCACCCATCAACAAGAGAATACACTTTCTTCTCAGCAGCACATGAGTCCTTCTCCAAAATAGACTTATGTTATGCCACAAAGTAAGTCTTAGCAAATACAAAAAAATGAGATACTGTCCTGCATTCTATCTGACCATAATGGAATAAAATTAGAAATCAATGATAAAATAAAAAATAGAAGGTACTCCAACACCTGGAGACTAAACAATACACTATTGAATGATGCGTGAATAACAGAAGACATCAGAGGTAAATGAGAACTCTGATACAAATTATCAAAATCTATGGGACACTATGAAGGAGTGCTAAGAGGAAAGTTCATTGCATTAAGCTCATTCATTAAAAGAAGGAAAAGTCAAAAAGTCAACCTGACATTACATCTCAAAGTTCTAGAAAAAGAATAACAAACCAATACCAAAAGTAGTAGAAGACAGGAAATAATTAAAATCAGGGCAGAAATCAATGAAATTTAAACAAAAGAAATAATTTTAAAAAATTGACAAAACAGAGCCCCAGTGACACTTGTGGAGCACAGGCAGGCCTAGGTCAGCACCACCGACACCCATGGAGCCTGCCCTGGGTCCAGAGACAGCTTACAGCAACAACGCTGCAAGCCATAGAGCTGCATCTCTGAACACATCTCCCAGTGCCACCACCTGGCTCCCCCCCACCTGACCTAACACTCCATTGCTGAAAGCAGTCACCTCCCGCTTGGGACACCTTCATTGCCATCTTTAGTTGGGGTAAACCTCCAGCTTGGAACACTGGCTGAGTAGGTATCCATAGTCCCCAACACCCCTCTCCCAGACAGCTGTTAACCAACTTCTTTAGATTCCTCTTTCAAGCTTTCTAAGATCTAATAACTGTATATCCTCACCTCCTACCCCCTCAACATCTCATCCTACACCTCACCCCCTGTTCTTTATCCACCATCAGAAATTGTAGACCCTTTTTGCATGCCTACTGTTTATATTGTATATAATAATTGAAAGCACCATTTCTATATATTGTGGCAAAAAGATAAATGTCTTAATAGCAACTATTTGGATTAAGGTTCATATTGTTTAACATTGTTCTTACCCACAAAGGAGAGGTATTGGAACTGTGCAGGGGCACTATAAGCCTGTAGGGTTAAAAAAAAACTTAATGCCACGGATCTACAGTGCTAGAAGGGAAAACACACGAACATCATAAAAAAACAAGGGGAAAAAGATGCCCCAAACAAATCAAGAGAATACATTATTAGAATTCATGGCCAGCACAACAAAAGAAATGTCAGAGAAGGAGTTCAGGATGTATAATTAAAATGTTCTGTGAATGAAAGGATGATATAAGAGAACAAATACAGGCAGCAAAAGAACAT